CCCACGAGCTAACGACCACTCTGAGCGCGGCCCGCTATACTATTTTTATTTATTTGTATTACTTATACTGTATCGCATTCAGGCGTGCGGGCGGTCTGTCTACACACTCGGCGCCCTCGGCGCCGTGCATGAGGGACGGTAGGCCACCCCGCGCGCACGCCTGCATGCGGTTTGTAAAACTAAAACACTCGGTGTTATGAAATGCAAAGATTTTTATTTTACAAAAAGTATGGGAGACGAAGAAAACTAAACGTACTTGTGTTCGTACGCAATGTGTATACTGACAGTGTACATTGCAAAGTGCATATCCATCAGTCGACATTGGGGACGCAGTTCTGGGTGCAGAGGATCTACGAAGTATACTGACCGGTCTCGCATTCCCTTTGCCCGCAGAGCTGCTGGAACTGCGGCCGCAAGGCACACGAGACCTGCAGCGGCTGCAACGTGGCGCGCTACTGCGGCTCGTTCTGTCAGCACAAGGACTGGGAGACGCACCACCAGGTGTGCCGGGCCTCCTCCGTCCCGGACAGCGCCGCGGCCGCGGCCTCTGCCCTGTGGGCCGCCACGGCCTCCACCGCCGAGCAGCGCGCCGCCACGGCCTCGGCGCCGCCCGCCCCGCGGCCGCCCACCTCGCCGCCGCACAGCCTGGCGCCGGCCCCGAGCGCGGTGGCGCAGGCCCAGCTGCACGGCGCCCTCGCCGCCATGGTGGCCGTCAGCAAGACGAGTCCGCAGAAGTGACGACTGCAGGTCCGCGAGGGCCGCTCGCTGCGCGCGCCGCGCGGCCTCACCTGGTGACCTCGCCCGGTGACGAGCCCTCGCGGAAGAGAGAGGAGCGGACACAGTGCCATATACTTACCAGGATAGCCGCGGCTCCGCGGGGTGACCCGCGTTGGTGCGGGGCGCGGGGCCGCGGGCGGGACGGGGCACACCGGCTCTGCGGACCGGAAGTCGTTGAGTTGCACCATCGTCTGATTGCCAATAGCAGTGGTGGCCCCTCTCCCGCCCCCCCTCAGGAACATTCCAGTACCTTGTCATTAGAAATACGAGTAAACCAGTAGTTATTTATGCTTAGGCTATGATTAAGCTATCTTGTGATCCTACATGTATACTCCTCATAATGTCTCATCCAGTTTACGTAGAGGGTCGTTCTTTCATGGATGTCACTCGTGTTTACAGACTAAAGTTTCTAGTGGTATTTGTGTTGTTTTTTTTGTTAAGCTATTCTTTAAACTTTTTTATGTTTTAAAACAATGTTGAGTTAATGATGAGGTGATTTTCTGAACGCCACAAAGGTCGTGTTGTAGTTTTTTCCCCTATAGAAGTGATGTTCTAGTCTGGTGGAACTTTACAAGTTGAGTTGTTAAGTAAGAGGAAGTATTAGTTAACTAATGTGAACCAGTTTTACACAGCCATTAAAGTTTCAGATTTCATTCCAAATTACCTATTCAATCTGTTTGCCAATTATTATCTCATTAATTTGTTACAATCTGTATGTTACTGCACAGTGTTCACCATAATGTTTTCCTTGTTTTTATCTAAGATCTCTAAATGTTATTTCTACTA